TGCTGCTGAGGGAGCACAAGCTCCGTTCCTATTCCCTGAACGCCGTCAGCGCCCATTTCCTGCACGAGCAGAAGGAGGACGTTCCCCACGGGATCATCACCGACCTGCAGGTGACCCCAAAATACCCAAAAATTACCCCAAAATATCCCAAAATTTCATCTGGGTTACCTGGGATCATCACCGAGCTGCAGGTGACAAAAAAAACGGCCCAAAAATGGCCAAAAATGGCCCAAAATGGCCCCAAAATGTCCCAAAATTTCACCTGGGTTATCTGGGGTCAACACCGACCTGAAGGTGGCGAAAAAAGGGTTCAAAAATGACCCAAAATGGCCCAAAAATGACACGTGGGATCATCACCGACCTCCAGGTGACCCAAAATACCCAAAAATGACCCCAAAATGTCACCTGGGTTACCTGGGGTCATCACTGACCTCCAGGTGACAAAAAACCGACCCAAAAATGGCCCAAAATGACCCCAAAATATCCCAAAAATGTCACCTGAGTTACCTGGGATCATCATCAACCTTCAGGTGAGAAAAAGATGACCCCAAAATGGCCCAAAAATGGCTTCAAATGGGGACATTTGGGCTGTCCCCAATGTCCCCATTGTCCCCAATGCCTGATGACGTCACAGATGATGTCATTATTGTCCCCTCAGAACAGTGACCCCCAGACTCGCCGCCGCCTGGCTCTGTACTGTTTGAAGGATGTGATGTCCCCAATGTCCCCAATGTCCCCAATGTCCCCAATCCCTGATGATGTCATTAATGTCCCCAATCCCTGATTGCGTCACTGATGATGTCATTATTGTCCCCACAGAACGGTGATGCTCAAACTGGCCATCGATTGGCCCTTTACTGTCTGAAGGATGCGCTGCTGTCACTGTCCCCAATGTCCCCAATGTCCCCAATCCCTGATGATGTCACAGTGATGATGATGTCATTAATGTCCCCGATGATGTCATTGTCCCCACAGAACGGTGACCCCCAGACCCGTCGCAGATTGGCCCTGTATTGTCTCAAGGATGCTCTGCTGCCGCTGTCCCCAATGTCCCCAATGTCCCAATATCCAATGATGTCATTAATGTCCCCAATCCCTGATGATGTCATTATTGTCCCCATTATTGTCCCCACAGAACGGTGACGCTCAGACCCGTCGCAGATTGGCCCTGTACTGTCTGAAGGACGCGCTGTCCCCAATGTCCCCAATGTCCCCAATGTCCCCAATGTCCCCAATGTCCCCAATGTCCCCAATCCCTGATGATGTCATTAATGTCCCCAATGACGTCATTATTGTCCCCA